AAAAAAAAAAAAAAAAAAGAATTGCATGCTTTTGGCTTTTTCCACTTGAAAAAAAAGTTAATGTTGATTTATTTTTAATTTATTAGTGTATAAATTATTACTTTGAATTCATAAATATTTTTGTACACACGTTTTATTCTATAAAGTGTGATTAATATATTAAAATATATTCTTATTTAATGATGATTTTCTTTTCAAAAATAATTATTCTTATATTGTCAATCATTAAACAAGATTTTAATTTAAAGAAATTGTTGAGAATAACACATTAAAAAAATTATCACGATTTCAATATTGGGAAATATGAGTAATATTTTTGAGCCATTTTATTGTAAATGACTTTAGTTTGTGCAGATAAATTATAATGAAAACTAATCAATTGACCCAAAATACTATAGGACGTAGAAAGCATAGTTTTTCAATCCGGATTGATCCGGTGGGTCGACCTAGGACCCAGAGGTAGAATCGTTCTGGGTGGACTATTTGGACCGGGTAACAATGGACCCAGTCAACACAACATTGACTAGATCAACACGGGACATTTTTTGCCAAATCAACCCGGCTGACCCGACCCGTATAATAAATTTTACTCTTTTTGTTTTTTATTTTTTTTTATTTCAAAAATAAAAACTATGTGCATATTGTATATATGGTAAATATTTATTATGAGATACAATATTATTTATACTTTGATGTACAAATTTTATATTCATCGACTCAGTCACCCGGCAGTTGAACCGATGATTGACATGGAGACCTATCCAGACCGATTCTCGGATCGGGTTTAAAAACTATGGTAGAAAGTGATGATTAAATATTTATGTGAATTAACTATAGTAATTAAATACTACAACCTATTTGCTCAATCCTAGATCCTATTCCCCTCACAAGAGAGAGAAGACGATAATTCCAACACCTACACTTGGCACTTGCGTGAACCACCTAACAACTTTATTAATATTTTTTATTTAATTTTTTTTTACACAACAACTTAAACATTAAATACGTTTGGGGATATTGGGGTGTGCAGAGTTCATCTCATCAATTTTGGATAATTCAAATTCCTTATCTAAACAAAACAGAAAGAACATCGATCGGTGGGAATCAAACTGCCAACAGCTTAAATGGGCTTTGGATTCCGGAGGAATTCCAAGGACGACGACATGTGTTTTCACAACACTCTCTGTTCATCACTTGAGGTCCGTACTACCCTCTATTTTTTTTTTTGTCTAATTTGCCTTCATGAGTTTTTCCCTTTATATATATATAGTCCCGCTCACCTGCTCACGGTGGGCAGTGCCCACCACTTTGTTTTATATGAAAAACATATTCTGAATTGAAAAACGTATTCTCAGAATATGTTTTTCATATAAAACAAAGTGGTGGACACTGCCCAGGCAGGGATCAAAATTTTATATATATATATATATATATATGTATATATGTGTGTGTACTAATTGACAAGCTCTTCACCTGAATTTGATAGTTTAAATTTTTTGTGGCATCATTTCATTTCAATCAGGGTGCAAGTATGTTGTTCCTAGACTGTTATAACCTTTTGAAGAGAGCCATAAGGTGTGATTCTTCTTCTGAATTGGTTTTTGGGTATGAAGTTGTCTTTGAGAAGAAAAAGTTTTGCACTATCAACGTAAAATCCAGAAGAATCCGCACGGTGAGTGGTCTAAGAAGCAAGGATATATGTAACAACTTTGCAGGCAAGGTTGATAGTGAAGATAAAATGGAAATTGGTAATAGCTGCAACGGGTTAATCCTCATACTTTATTCCAAAAAAACACGTTCTTTTTAACCCTCTATCAGGCAGAATAGCGTTTGCAACGCGCAAACTGCCTGAATGGTATGGCAGCAGGTGTTGTGGCTTCTTCTACCATCCTCTAGCAAAAGAATACCGGCTTCTCCATGTGACGCAGATAGGAAAGTCTAGTTACGAGTACCACATTTACGAATTTGGGGCTCACAAGTGGAGGACAATTCTGACTCCCAAATTTTCTCATTACTCCCCTCAAAGCTCCGCGCAATTGTTGGTGACGAAAAAAGCTATGTTTTGGTGGAAATTCGGTTGCTTTCTGGTTTTCGACATAAATACTGAGAAGGTATGCATGAAAGGTTCTCCCCCCTTGGGCCATCATGCTGATTCAAAAAATGTGGTGGTCAAAGGAGGTGAGGACTTGTGTTGCTGCTACGTGCGCTGTAAGGAGACTGTAGTGGATGTTTGGGT